GTCCTGGAGCCTTCCCGGAGCTTTTTCCAAGGGTTTTTCCTTGGAAAACAGAGGTTTTGGGAACAGCCAGTGGTGCTGGAGGGCCCCTGTGTCTCTGTGGCACGTGGAAAACTGGGAATTTTGCCTTGGAATGTGTTTAAAAAGCTCTCCCTGGGGTTCAAAATCCCTTGGGAGCAGCTTTTCCTGGGATGCTGAGCCAGGGCTGGGGGTCCTGGAGCCTTCCTGGAGCTTTTTCCAAGGGTTTTTCCTTGGAAAACAGGGGTTTTGGGAACAGCCAGTGGTGCTGGAGGGCCCCTGTGTCTCCGTGGCACGTGGGAAACTGGGAATTTTGCCTGGGAATGGGTTTAAAAATGTATCCCTGGGGTTCAAAATCCCTTGGGAGCAGCTTTTCCCGGGTGTCCCGGAACCTTCCCAGAGCTTTTTCCAGGGACTTTTCCTTGGAAACCAGAGGTTTTGGGAACAGCCAGTGGTGCTGTGGGGCCCCTGTGTCTCCGTGGCACGTGGAAAACTGGGAATTTTGCCTTGGAATGTGTTTAAAAAGCTCTCCCTGGGGTTCAAAATCCCTCGGGAGCAGCTTTTCCCGGGTGTCCCGGAGCCTTCCCGGAGCTTCCTCCGGGGTTTTTCCTTGGAAAAGGGGCCCGGGGGGGGTCGGGGCCGTGGGGATGGGGCGGCTCCAGCCCTTCCTTCCGTGTGTTCCCGCAGGGAATCGCTCGGGAATCTCCGGGATGTCGGACAGAGGGAGCGGCATGGACGGAAGGACGGACATCGCCAACGGTCGGGGGCACTCAGGGGGGCAACGGGGGGCACAGGGGGACAGTGAGGGGGGCAGGGGGACAATGAGGGTGTCAGGGTGACAATGACAGGGTCAGGGTGACAATGAGGGTGACAGGGTGACACTGAGGGTGTCAGGGTGACAGTAGCAATGTCAGGGTGACAGTGAGGCTGGCAGGGTGATAATGAGGTGTCAGGGTGTCACTGAGGGTGTCAAGGTGACAATGGCAGGGTCAGGGTGACAGTGAGGGTGTCAGGGTGACAGTGAGGGTGTCAGGGTGACAGTGAGGGTGTCAGGGGGACAGAGTGTCAGGGGGACAGTGAGGGGGCAGGGGGACAATGAGGGTGGCAGGGTGACAGTGACAAGGTCACAGGGTGTCACTGAGAGTGTCAGGGTGACAACAAGGGTGTCAGGGTGACACTGAGGGTGTCAGGGTGACAGTGAGGGTGTCAGGTTGACAACAAGGGTGACAGGGTGACAGTTAGGCTGTCAGGGTGACACTAGCAATGTCCAGGTGACAGTGAGTGTGTCAGGGTGACAGTGGCAGTGTCAGAGTGACAACAAGGGTGACAGGGTGACAGTGAGGGTGGCAGGGTAACAATGAGGGTGGCAGGGTGACAATGACAGGGTGGCAGGGTGACAATGAGAGTGTCAGGGTGACAATTAAGCTGTCAGGGTGACACTGGCAATGTCCAGGTGACAGTGAGGGTGTCAGGGTGACAGTGAGGTGTCAGGGTGACAATGAGGGTGTCAGGGTGCCAGCAGTGCTGTCCCCATGTCCCCAGGCAGCCCTGAGATGTGTGTGAGGGTGTCAGGGTGACACTGAGGGTGTCAGGGTGACAACAAGGGTGTCAGGGTGACAATGAGGCTGTCAGGGTGACAGTAGCAATGTGCAGGTGACACTGAGGGTGTCAGGGTGACAATGACAGGGTCACAGGGTGGCAATGACAGGGTGTCAGGGTGACAGTAGCAATGTCAGGGTGACAACAAGGGTGTCAAGGTGACAATGACAGTGTCACAGGGTGACAATGGCAGGGTCAGGGTGGCACTGAGAGTGTCAGGGTGACAATGAGGGTGTCAGGGTGACACTAGCAATGTCCAGGTGGCACTGAGGGTGTCAGGGTGACAATGAGGGTGTCAGGGTGACACTAGCAATGTCCAGGTGGCACTGAGGGTGTCAGGGTGACAATGAGGGTGTCAGGGTGACAATGACAGTGTCACAGGGTGACAATTACAGGGTGTCAGGGTGACAATGGTGCTGTCCCTGTGCCCCCCCAGGCAGCCTGTCGAGCAGCCCCGAGGACATGTCAGGGTGTCCTTGAGGGTGTCAGGGTGACAATGAGGGTGTCAGGGTGACAGTGACAGGGTCACAGGGTGACAATTACAGGGTGTCAGGGTGACAATGGTGCTGTCCCTGCCCCCCCAGGCAGCCTGTCGAGCAGCCCCGAGGACATGTCAGGGTGACAATGACAGGGTGTCAGGGTGACAGTGACAGTGTCACAGGGTGTCAGGGTGCCATCCCTGTGTCCCTGTCCCCCCAGGCAGCCTGTCGAGCAGCCCCGAGGACATGTCAGGGTGTCCTTGAGGGTGTCAGGGTGACAATGAGGGTGTCAGGGTGACAATGACATTGTCACAGGGTGACAATTACAGGGTGTCAGGGTGACAATGGTGCTGTCCGTGTCCCCCCAGGCAGCCTGTCGAGCAGCCCCGAGGACATGTCGGCCGAGGACGGGCGCGAGACGTCGTCGGGGATCGAGGTGGAGGCGTCGGACGCGAGCCTGAGCCTGACGGGCTCCTCGGAGCCGGCGGCGCCCGCGGGGGGGGCGCGGGGGGGTCCCCGGGGTCGGGGGGACACCGACAGCGACAGCTCCGGGGAGCGCGACTCGGACAGCATGGACGACACCGGCCACTACTCCATCCCCGAGGAGCCGCGCGGCGACGGCGACGAGGACGAGGAGGAGGAGGAGGAGGAGGAAGAAGAGGAGGAAGAGGAGGAGGAGGAGGAGGAGGAGCGGCGCCGGGCCCGCCGGCGCTCCCCGCGCAAGCGGCCGCCCCACGAGCGCGACTCGTCGGACGAGGAGCAGGCGCTGGAGGACTGGGTGGCCTCGGAGACGTGGGCGCTGCCGCGGCCGCGCTGGCGCAGGGCCAGCTCGGCTCCTGCGCCCGCTTCGTGGCCGAGGCGTG